TGACCAAATTATCTCTGAATGATGACCAAATAATCGAGTTCTTTAACATTAGCTAATATGCTTCAATATCAAGCAAAGGAGGTCACCACTGTCATATCATGTCATATTTCCTCAACTTGTTATCCACTTTAAGATTTAGAATAAGAAGATAAATGTTGTGATAGTATATCACAACAATGATTTCACAATCTGAACATTCAAATTATCTTTTTTTTTCCACTTCCAAGTTAGACACTTCAAGTTTCTATAGCAATGAATTGAGACCTATTTTTATGTTCTCAACTAACCTAAAGAGAAATAACAAATTATTATATCCATTAAGAAATAAATTTCAGTGAATGTAAAGGACCTCAATTACGGATAACCTAAAACTGTTGGACTTTCAGTTAGTATTAGTCACTAGAAAAGTTACATTATCCTTGGCTAGAATCCAATCAATTCTGAAAAGCACCAATTCTTACAAGACATTTTTCAACACCAAAATTTTAACTTTCTACTCTTGATATGAATATTCAATTATTCTATTATTAAAATGCTGGTAATAACAGTATGCATTTCCTTTTGTGTTCCTTTTTAAAATTCAGGCAGCTTTTAACACTCAGCAATAATTATTTTAATGTATGCTCTCTGTTATTCTCTGGGATGATTCCCAGAAAGACCCATCTCCACAATACCATCTATTCTTTGTACAATATGGCTGAAATCCATAGTCCTAGAAATGAAATGAAAGCTATCATATGTGTCCAGGGAACTTTAACTTTCCATAGTAAATTGTAGGCTAATTTTCATTGTACACATTACTTACAAAGTATTGTAAGTATACACTTTGTATACTTACAAAGGAGTGGAACCATAATAATGAAACTGATGTTATTTACATAAGTATTATTCAAGGAACTATTACTTATAATAAAAAATAATCATGCTGCAGCCTTAACATTCACAACGATGAAGCAACTTTCTGCATAATGTGCTATTATTCAACTAATGTGACATTGAAAAAAATTAGGTTTGAAGGAGCATTATTCTAATATCAGAGTATACAGTTGTATACAAGTGTGCTAGATCAAAGCTAAGGATCTATCATTTCTTAAGCTATAATTCTACAACTTTTTTTGGCTGTAATCATATTGATTTGGGAAAAACCCATTGTGTATGTGGAACTATTACAATTACTATTATTACTGAATGTCCTCTATATGACTTATGGCATTTTATAAAATGGGAGTAACTAGGTCTTCTTTCTAAGAATAATGCAGAAAAAATGGGAGAACTGGAAGTTTATATTTTATTACAAGCATTTCTATAGCACCTTCCCTGAAGAATTCTTGGCAATTTACAATAAAAATATCATCAGTAATCAGGTATATCGAAAACAATAAGGATTAAAGAACAGACATAGCTGTCTGATCATAAAAACATTCCACAACAATGATCCTTCTAATACTTGTTTAAACAGCCCAATGTTCTACTACTTTGCAGAAGATCAACAGGAGGGATACCAAATTTAATTCTGAGGGTAAGAAGTTCCGTAAGGTGGGAGACATTAGAAAGGATTTCATATCACTTTGAATATTTTCAGGGATAGGATCTTAATATCCCTTCTCTGTGTAGATATATCGACTTGACAGATTCTATTTGTCTGAATAACAAATTCTCAGGTGTCCTTACAGAATCAACTGAATTACTAAAGAGATGGAGAGCCCTCTGCCAGAATTTGAGCTCCGCTAGCCGAAACTACTCTAATCTCCATTCAAGGATATTTGGAATTTCAAATTATTACATAGACATTTCTTTCCAGAGTTAAAACTTTCAGGGAAAAATGATTTTAAGCACAGCATCTTCTAAAGAATATTAAAGAGATATGTCAAAACTACACCTCCCATCTAAACTTTAAATTGAATACTGTAACAGGTTTAGGAAATATTTATTTAAGGGGCACATTCACCCTGGAAAAAGCCACAGGGATCTATAATCTATGGCAGGTGGGACATCGTTCTTTTCTTCCTCAAAGTGTTTCCACACTTATCTGAGTGCAAAATAAAAATGCAACAATCAAAGCAATCCTAAAATTTGGAAGGAAATTGTCATATCATAGCACTCCTGCTGCTGTAAAGCAAATTCCAGAGTGAGGCTAGTTTATTCAATTCTTAATGGAAAGAGAGAGGAATCAACCACTTACCTCATGGCACTTGCAGTATCTTGAAACATCACAGATTCTTCTAAGCATTGCCATTACAAAGTGGCTTCCAGAAAATCAAGCTGCCCATTCTGTTTTTAGAAAGAACTTAAGAGAAGCTTACAGAAAGGCCTATCTGGATTTATTCCATAGCCATAGTCCATTGATTAAACTGACTTTATATTACTTAGATAGAAACTTTATAAAAATACATGTTACACCTATTAGTGAAACATACCTGTTGCTAAACCTTCAGACTTGTACAATCTGAATTTTATAGATTCATTAAAATCCTTTTTCAGAGTGAGACGTTTTGTAAATCTTTGGCAGCGAACTTTGTACATTTATATAAAATTGTGATTAGTGTATAGAGACACAAGAATAAACTGCTTTTTAAATAGTTTTAAAATAATAAGATTATCTGATATATGTATAATTTTAATGCAGTAAGATATTTTCTGAAAACTAATGCTTAAATGAAATGAGTTAGAGATAAAAGGGATACACTTCATAATTTGTACAAATTGGAATATTCGATTTCTATATAGAAAGTTCTTACATTTCTAGAAAATAAAATATATTTTCAGTGCTCATTACTAATCATATACAGGTTTCTGGTCTATTTCTTTCCAGCTATTCCTTAATAGAATTAATCTTTCCCACCAGATACCAATCAGCCCATTAATGGTATGCCAGTTGTACTACAATTTGTTTTGTTAAAAAAATTAGTGATGCTATCCAGCTAACCAGCACCAAGATCTACTCATCAGGAAAGACCAGGACTGGCAAACTGCTGAGATGCAATTCTTATTAGGGTTACATACTATGGGTAAATCCATGGATGAATATTATGGATTAACAGATATATGCTATGCTAATCTTAAAACATAGATTCAACAGTGTAGTTTAAGCAACATCTTCCATTAGCTGCAGACATCATACACAATGATCAAGGACAAGACTTAAGATCTGTATTAACATTTTAAGATATGATGGTCCAGATGAAAAATATAGCTCTACTCTTATTTGGCTGATGTATCACAACTTGAGAACTTTTTTTCTTGAAGAAAACACGTGTTTAGTACAATAAAATGGATACATACACTACAATATACCTTTTTCCACTTCCACTAAGTTGCTACCAGCTTAAAAAAAAGCCTTAGCAAACAGCAGTGACTATAAACAGATGGGTTAAATGTCATTTAGCATTCTGCTATGGATATCACTTTTATATACTGTAAAGCAAAGCAGATAAAGGGTATAGATGATCAACAAATACATATTTTTGCTATGGGTAGTTATGAGGAAATAGGGTGCTTTCACACACACACAAACAGCATAATTTGTGAATACTGGAAATTAACTATAAATGAAACTGAATTGGCAACTTCATTTTGTAAATAAAATATTCCTTAAAAGTACATTAAGGTCATAAGAAACAATCAGTCTTCCTTTACAAGGTTCCAATTGTTTGAATGACTTCATAAGCAGATTACCACGTGAGAGGCCAGAATCAATTCTTCAATTAAGCAGCAGTACATTTTTTATACAACACATTAGAATGCCTGTTTAAACAAAGCTGTGCTTGATTTATAATATTCTTCTTTTTCTCCCTGTAGTGCTCATTCTCTTTTTGGCAAACAAGGTATCATATCAATACAGGTAACAGGCTACCTTTTACCAATTCATTAAAAATTCACCTGATGTATGAAATAAGTGGAAGTGTATAAAGTGTATAAATAGGGGGGAAAATCATTCAAGGCTGCTGTGGCAGAATAAGTTTTTTTTAAAAAATTTTTTGCAGTCTTCCTAACCCAACGCGCTTATCCTCCAAGAAATCTCTGCAGAGATTTTGCAAGGTAGCCCCATTCATATATTCTAAACTGACCTCATTAGTATTCTCATTTGTGTGTGTGTGTCTGGATAGATAGATAGATAGATAGATAGATAGATAGATAGATAGATAGATAGATAGATAGATAGATAGATAGATGATAGATAGATGATAGATGATGAATAGATAGATAGATAGATAGATAGATAGATAGATAGATAGATAGATACACACACACACAAAATTATTTCTTTATATATATAGAATTATATATATATAATAATATATAGAATTATTATATATATATATATATATATATATATATATATATATATATATATATATATATATATATATATATATATATATATATAAAAATAATATAATTTTAAAAATTCCCAGAGCTTCGGTTCTCTTTTAAACCAACGATAGAAAAGGAACTGGGCTTTCGATTGCCGCCAGGCAGCCCCATCCCTTGCATGCCTCTTTATTCCCAGGTAAAGTTACATGCATGATTCAAGCTTTGCAATTAAGTTCTCTCAACAACTCGCCATCCACAGGGACGAAGTAACGAAACTGCCTCGTTCTCAAGGGTGGGCGGCGAATTTTTATTCCGGTACAACCGACTAAGAGGGTCCTAACACGGGAGGGAGGGAGGGAGGGAGGATGCTTCCTCGCAGAAGTAAAAAAAAAACAAAACACCCTTCCTTACGTCCTCCCCAAAGGAGCCGAATCACTGCTTGCCGTTCTTAGCAAGGCTCCAAAGAGCGTTTCGGACGCCTTATTTTCTCTCTCTCTCTCTCTCTTTTTACCGATAAGACAATCTACTCACCTTCTTGGAACACAGTCAGAGGACTGGATGCTCCTCTCTCTCTTTTTTACCGGCTGGAAAGGAAGCGTCTCCGCCTGCCAACAATCGCTCTTCCCATTGGCTCGGCGGATGCTGCGCGACACGCCTACCCCCCCCCCCCATTCCCCCCCCCAGCGCTCGTCTCTTTCCTGTCAACCGAGCAGAAGCTAAGATGGCGGGCTTGGCGACCGAGGGGCTGGCGCGGAGGGAAAGCGCTACGACGAGTTTCCAAAGGAAAGTGCCGGATGGCGGAGGGGGCCGCTTGGCCGTTCTGCCAGGAACCCGGCCGTCGGTGCGACACGGTCAGCTCCTGGTTTCCAGCGGCGTCCCTTCTCTGGACTCTTTTTTAGGTTGGTGCTGACAGCGCTGCCCAATCTTTCGTAGCCCCGGTTCCCTCCACCCCGCGACCCGGGACTTCGCTTTTTACCTGTTGTAAAGGTAGCGGAGCAACTTCAGAGGCCTTGAGAGAAGCAGGGACGGGAAGCAGCTCCTGCATCCTCCCGCGTGGTTAGTCCCTTCTCCTGCGGGGAGAATTCCCACGCCCTCCCCCCCGCACCCTTCTTCTTCGGATGGGTTGGGGAACCGATGCCCTTTGCACACGCCCGGCTTCCCCCGCTGAGCAAACTTCTGAATTTGGGAGAGCGGCGATTTAAAAAGTATTTTAAAAAAGTTGTGCCTTGTTAAAAGGACGTGCGAGACCCGCGGAACCCAAATGCTGTGGCGGGCCGCCGCCTTCTCTCCCTTTTTCTGCTTTTAAACGAGGCGTGCAGCAAAGCTTAATAAATGGGCAGCTGCTTCACTCTGTAAGCTCCTGGTTGCTTCTTTAGTACAGGTAGACCTCGACTTACGACCACAGTGGAGCTCAACTTTTCTCTTAAGGGAGACATTTGTTAAGTAAATTTTGCCCCATTTTACGACATTTCTTGCCATAGTTTTTTTTTTTGTTTTTTTTAATTTGATTTATATGCCGCCCTTCTCCGGAGTCTCAGGGCGGCTTACAGTGCGTTAAGCAATAGCCTTCATACTTTTGTATATTTTATACAAAGTCAGCTTATTGCCCCCACAAACTGGGTCCTCAATTTATCTACCTTAGAAAGGATGGAAGGCTGAGTCAACCTTGAGCCTGGCAAGATTCGAACTTACTTTAATTGCAGACAGCTGGTGTTAAATTACAGTGCCTTGTCTGCAGAGCTATCCAGGCTCCGTGATAGGAGTTGTTGAATCACTGCGGTTGATAACTTAGTAACCCGGTTGTTGAGTGACTCTGGCTTCCCCGTTGACTTTGCTTGTTGGACGGTTGCAGATAAGGATCACATGACCCTGGGATGCTGCAACGGTCATAAGTATGAACCAGTTGCCAAGCATCTGAATTTTGATCACATAATCATGGGGATGCTTGCAAAGGTTGTAACTGTGAAAAACGGTCGTAAGTCACTTTTTTCAGTGTCGTCGTAACTTTGAACGGTCACTAAATGAACTGTTGTAAATCAAGGATTACCTGTACTAGACTTGCATGCAGCCTGAGGTTTATGACATACGCAAGATCAACTGCAGATGAGTGGAGTGGTTCCAGGCAGTACTGTATTTTGCATATTTTGAATTTCAGAGGGTTGTTGTAGGAGTGTATACCAGTGTCAACCCAGAGGCCTTGGCTCAACTTAATTTACATATTCTGTATCAGAATTAGCATGGGAGGATCTAATGCAAAAAAAAAAATGGGTTGGGATGGCTGCTTTAGGAGGGTGGATGTGTATCGTAAACCAGAAGATGATTTAGTTTCTATGGATATTTTTACAGATTCTAGAAAGCGAATGCTTCTTGTTTCATAATAGTGTTTCCGAAGATCAACTTAAAAGTTAATGGAGCTAAAACTAAATGCCTGATGAATTTAAATACCTAATTGGGGGGGCGGGAAGAGGGTTAATAGAAGGTATTTTGAAAGAGGTTTTTTTACAATAACATATACAATAATGTTTATATTTAACAGTAAAGCTTCTACCTAGAAGTATACAGTATCCCATTCATTGCAGAGTTTCTCAAAATTCTGTTAAATCCTGCTCATTCCTCTTATTTAAATATAAAGTTGTTTAAAATGCAATAAATTATAATATCTTTGAAATGTAATATGTACTTAAATTTGAAAATAAAACATTCTTCCAGCATGGGTTCCTCAGTAAGTGCGATATAATTGTACTTTTTTAATTAAAGGAATGCTATAGATGTACAATTATAGAATCTTAAGAATTGGGAGGCTCCTTGGAGATCAGCTGGTCTAACACCTCCCCCCCCCATGAATCCAAAGTACTACAGGTAGCCCTTGACGTACGACTACAGTTGAGCCCAAATTTATGTTGACAAGTGAGAAATTTGTTAAATGAATTATGCCCCATTTTACGACCTTTCTTGCCACAGTTGCTAAGTGTATCACTGTAGCTGTGAAGGTAGTAGCACAGTTCTTAAGTGAATTTGGCTTCAAATTGACCTTGATTGTCAAACGCTCACAAAAGCTGGTTACATGGCTCCAGGACAGTGTAGCTATCATAAATATGAACCAATTGCCAAGCATTCAAATTTTGATCATGTGATCATGGGGATGCTGCAACAGTCATAAGCATGAAAAATGGTCATAAGTCATTTTTTTTCAGCTCTGTTGTAACTTTGAACAGTCACTAAACAAATAGTTGTAAGTCAATGACTATGTGTACAGCATATCTTGATTTCAGAAAAAGATTAGATAAGATGTCTCCTATTTTGGTGGAGAAGATGAACAAATGTGGTCTAAAATGATAATGCAGTCTGGCTGATTTGCAACCATGAAGCTCCTAAATGTTTCTGCATTGTCCTGGATGCAATCAATTACAGTTGTACTGTTTATAAATTATACCAGAAGCTGGGATAGAAGTGATGGTAATTAGATTTGTACATTATATCAAGTTAAAGATATCAAATATTAGCGCACAGCCAACAATAAGAAATAACACATTCAACAGTAACAAAACATGCACCAATTTCAATCCTGATTCTGTAAAACAGAAAGAAATAAATCAATGCCAGCAGTAATTTTGACATGTCACCGTCCTCTCCTTGAATTAGCTCTATGGTTTTATAGATTCTCAGTTTCATCCCAAGCCATCTCCATGGAAATTCTTTTCAAAAGGAGGAAAATGGCATCTGGTTATTGCTATTGCTGTACAGAATAAGACAAAATAAGAATGGAAACCCAATATCAATAATTGTGTCAGTTAGTGTTTCTGGCTGTTCCTGGAGTTGTGGGTGCTCCATTGCTGGAAGTCTTCAGGAAGAGATTGGATAGCCATTTGTCAGGGATGCAACAAGATCTCCAGCCTTGGACAGGGGGTTGGACTAGAAGACTTCCAAGATCCCTTCCAGCCATGTGATCCTAAAGAGTTTGACAACTGTCTTAAATTGGGAGTTTTGAAATGATGGGCCATGACCCCCTCAAGGGATCACAAGCATAAGTGGGATGAAATAACAGTGTTTAAGAAAACTGTTAAGTGTTGCATAAATAAAACCGGAACACTGTCAGAATTTACTCCTGCTTTCTTTGGGCAATCCAGGGGTGAAATGCTTCCAGTTCGGACTGGATCGCCTGATCCGGTAGCGATGACGGCAGGTGGTTCGGAGAACCGGTAGCAAGAATCCCTGCCCCCCCCCATGCCCAGCTGAGCCGCGCGATCATCAGAAGCTTTTTTATTTATTTTTAAAAGCATTTTTTCTATAACCTCTTCAGCCGAAAAAATGCTTTTAAAAGTAAAAAAAAGAGGCTCTGATGAACACGCGGCTCAGCTGGGATCGTCAGAGGCTTTTAAAAGCATTTTTTTTACAACTTCTTCGGCCGAAGAGGTTATAGAAAAAATGGTTTTAAAAGTTTAAAAAAAAAATGTTGGCCACGCCCACTCAGTCACATTACCCCCCACCAAGCCACCCCCACAGAACCAGTAGTAACAAATTTTACATTTCACCACTGGGGCAATCCCATTGTGGGCTTGCATAGGCAAGGCAGGGAGCAAAACCTAGAATGAGTTATGAGACGTGGGCATAGCCATCTTTCAGAATTGCAGAAATGTTATTGTTTAGTTTAGCACACATATTCATTTATTATGGGTCTTCGGAGAGGGGCGGCATATAAATTGAATAAATAAATGAATAAATAAATTATTTACAGGGTTGTGGTTTGGAAGTTAACCAAATCAATTCATAAACAGGCCTGAATGCTAGGCCAATGTGGTAGAATTATTTAAGCTATGATAAGTATAGGTACTGTATCTAAATAAGAACAAACAAATGCATTGGTATCAGGTTGGGGAGTTAACTTATTAAATTTATATGCCTCCCAAAGTCTCAGGAGAGTTCACATGTAAAAGCATAAAAATGAGAGAAAATACAATAATAGATAAAAATAAAAGAGTAAAAGATGACAAGGATAACAAAATCCAAACCAGAATGAAGAAGGAAAAAAGGGGGGAGGGGGGCTTCACTTACCCTAGCCAAGATATGGGTGGAGAGTTAGGTCTTCAAGGCCTTTTTAAACACCAGCAAGCTGGAAGCCATCCGAATTTTGGATGAAACTTTATTTCATAGGACAAATGTTGCTACAGAGAAGGTGCACTTCTAGGGTCCCAATAGGTGGCATTGTTTAATCAAAGAAACTCAAGCATGTGCCAGTCCTGCCATATCAAATCAGGCAGATACTGGTTCTGCTTAACCACACTGTTTGTAAGAAAAATCTAGCACCTATGGATTCCCAGATGAATATGAATAAGTAATGCAATATAACAAAAAAAGACAAAAGCATTAACAGAAGCTTTGTATGTTGTATATCAGAGATAATAATTCCACTGTACTATCTGCAGAGTTACAGAATAACAAGAGTTGGAAAGGACCTTGGAGGTCTTCTAATCCAATCCCCTGCTCAGGCAGGAATCCTATATCATTTCAGACAAACGGTTGTCGAATCTCTATTTAAAAATTTTTAGTGTTGGAGCATTCACAACTTTTGGAGGTAAGTTGTTCCACTAATTAATTGTTATAGTTGTCAGGAAATTTCTCCTTAGTTCTAGGTTGCTTCTCTCCTTGATCAGTTTCCATCCATTGCTTCTTGTCTTGCCTTCAGCTGCTTTGGAGAATAACTTGACTCCCTCTTCTTTATGGCAGCCCCTGAGATATTGGAACACTACTATCATGTCACCACCTCTAGTCCTTCTTTTCATTAAACTAGACATACCCAATTCCAGCAACTGTTCTTTATATGTTTTAGCCTCTAGTTCCCTAATATATCTTTGTTGCTCTTCTCTGTACTCTTTCAAGAGTCTCAACATGTTTTTTACATTGTTAATCTCCAGAAGTTGTGAAAGTTCCAACACTAAAAGTTTTGGCGACTAAAACTGGATGCAAGTATGCCAAGTGTAGTCTTACCAAAGCATTATAAAGTGGTACTGACACATCACATGATCTTGATTCTATCCCTCTCTTAATGCAGCCTAGGACTAAATTGGTTTTTTTTGGCAGCTGCAGCATACTGCTGGCTCATATTTAAGTGATTGTCCACTAGAACTCCAAGATCCCTTTCATAGTTACTATTGTTGAGCCAGGCACCAGCTGCACTATGTCTGTGCATTTGGTTTTTCTTGCCTACATGTAGAACCTTACTTTTTTCACAATTGAATTTCCTTTTGTTAGATAGCGCCCAAAGTTCAAGTCTGTCAAGATCCTTCTGTATCTTAAGCCTATCTTCCGTAGTGTTGGCTATTCCTGCTTGCTTGGTATTGTCTACAAATTTGATAAGTTCTCCATCTATCCCCTCATCCTAATAATTGATGAAGATGTTGAAGAGTACCAGGCCTAAGACAGAGCCTTTGAGTGCCCCACTGCATACTTCCCTCCATGTAGATGCAGTTCCATTGAGGACTACACTTTGCATGTGGTTGCTCAGCCAGTTATTTATGGGAAGATTTCTTAAGCAGCATAGGTGCTAACCTAGAACATTGTGAGCCTCAACAGTAGATGGAAGCCACTGGTTTGAAATGATTAAGTGGATACCTGAATTGAGCAGGGAATACTACATGATATCAAAATCCTTTCTAAGTCATATCTGTGTTTCTGTAATATTCTAATGGGAATTATTTTGTAAGTAAACAAATGCATTTAGACATGCAATTATATAATATATTTATAATATTACTCAATATTATTGTGTATATTTATAATATACACAATATTGATATTTTTATTTTGGTTAGTAGAGAGAAGAAAATATGGGTACAATAAAGGTATCCTTGCCCTTCTAGGTGATCTTTTCAGAATGAAAACAAAATTTAAAATAACTTTTAGTTTGATTATTCCATCTTCCATTCAATTATGTCTTATTCTCAGAGACTGCCTGAACAGCTGCAGCTTTCCTGGCAATATTTTTTGGAAGTACTTTGGAACAAATAATACACTTCAAGTTAGCTGGGTCATGATAAATCATTGAAGAATTTTTAACTGTATCTTATATTCAAATGATTGCTCAAAAGGCATTATTTTACATGTGCATAATATTCTGACTGAAACAAAGGAATTTAGACTGTGGTAATACTATTAAAATACCTAAGTTAAGTTTCATAGAGCTCTGCAAGATCTTTTCATTATACCATTAAAATAATTGTAGACTATGATATGTAATTATATATAGTATGAATGAATTGTAAAAAATATTATGCAGGTAATTAAAATGTTTTTCGCATTGCACTGTTATCTTCATATATCACCCTTCTTTGATACTACTAATTCTTGGAAACTATTATTTATTAAATTCATTTTGTTCTCAGGTGGAGGTTTGGCAATTGGAACCCTTCTTCTTGTTGGTTAGTATGTCATTTTTCCAATACCATAACATGCTAGCAATTGTATATGCATGAAATTATTTAATTGTCATTAAAATATTTTGGAAATTATATAACTAATTCTTTTAACAAGTTCTACTTAAATGGTATGTATGTCATGGTGTAAAACTTTATTCCTTTCTTATCTAGCTTTCATATCATGGGGGTGGGGGGTGGGGGATTAGCCCAGTAGAAATGTAATGCTGTTGAAGAGATTTGACTGCAGGTTTCCTGCTTTTTTCTTTCATGTCTTATCACCAAACACAGTTTTAACAGAGTTCCCTTTATATGGTTGTTTTCCATTCCTTGATCATTGTTAATTGTTATAATAACTAAAGTTGAAAGTGGAAGGTGTTTTTCTAGTTTATTCAAATTGCTAAATTGGTTTGTGGTTTTTTTAGTGTAAGTATTTCCGTTTTAATACAAATCTTGGAAAGAAGTATTCTAAGGCTTTATTTGAAACAAGTCTTCAAACTCTATCCAAATTATATAAACATCCAATCATTTCTAAATTTCTAAAAATATTAAAACTTTAATTGACATATTGAATGGCATTAGGAGATGTTATTCCATCAGGTAAAATAATGTATTAATTCCTTGATCTCATCTGCTCTAGAAAATTTGGGGATTTTGGAACATGTTTGTGTCATGAACTACATTTAGGAAGAGGAATTGGTGTAAATCTCCTCTTGTAATGTTGAATAAAGCCTAACTTAGCTGATCTCTATGTTTTCTTGCAGTCATTAACAATACAGGTAGCCCTCATTTAGTGACCACAATTAGGTCCATTAACTTAGCCATTTAGCAAAGCTGTCGCTAAGTGAAACTGCAACTGTGCTTGTGATCTTACTTCAGCTTTCCTTTCCTTTACAAACATGCAAAGGTTACAAACAAGAGACTTGATTGCAAGGTTACTTTTTCCATCATTGTGATAACTGAATAGTCACTGCATGAGGCAGTAACTAAACAAGGACTACCTGTATGCATAAAAGATTAGTATGCAGGAATAACTTTCGCCTGCACGCCAAGTTTACAGAATGAGGATGGCAAAGAGAGCAGGGAAATAAAATATTAGAAGTTTTTCACATAAGTTTTTGCTCTTACAGGATTGCCTTTAGCAACTGTTTTATTATACTGGATTAAAAAGAAAACTGAAAAAATACAGTTAAAATCATGATGTTTTATCATTAAAAACAATAACGTTATTTAATTTCCTAGCAAAATATAAAAACAAAGAAGTTTGACAGAATCGAGTGCTGTAGATACAATAAGTCTAATATAGAAGCAAAAAAGTAAAAACACTAAATGGATGAACTATCATTTTGTATAATACCTTATAATACCTAAAATTAGAAAAGCCCATGCTGAATTATAATATGAAAAAGCTACCTAACAATGGGTGTCGGGAAGGAATGTGTAGTGTTTCAAATTAAGTTACCAGAAATCCTTCTGTATTACCATCGGGCTGCTCCTCTAGCAATACACTTATATAACTATTAGTAATTTTTTTTCTTTAGCCTAGGAAATCTATATTATTGAAGATGTTCTTCCATCGAAGAATAATAAAATAGTGTAACTTTTAATAAGTCTGGAAATCTGTTTTGGTTGAATAAAAAAACCCTAAAATATTTAGTATGTTTTGTACACACTAGTTAGAATGGATTTTCTCCTCGTTCCTCACAGTCCCTCTGTATGTCTGTCAATCAAATGTAGGAGAACCCCCAGGGCACATTTGGAGGAATGTGGGGAAGAGAAAAGGAAAATCTCCTTAGATGACCAGAAGACAGTTGTGTAACATTATTATTGTTGTTGTTGTTATTGTTATATTGTGTCCATACTAAATATATAGTAGTTTGCTTAAGCATAAATTGATGTATAAACCTGATTGATCATAAATATAGTTTAGAAACAACTACTGCATTTGTACAACTGCTAAAACAATTCTTTAAAATGTATATTTTATTGTGTCTTGGTAAACTGGATGAATTTAAAAGTTTCTTCCTTTTCTTTGATGTGCATTTAAGACTAGATGACAGTTTTTTGCAGGAAAGAAATGTGTATCTCTTGGATTTTGTCTTTGTTAAAGTTGCAATAGTTTTACTAAGGAAATTTTTAGACTCTGAAAATTCCTAATAATGCTTGAATTTAAGAAAACCATTGTGGAAGATAAGCAGAGTCCTTGATCTGAACCTGCAGAATGATAGTTCCAGAATTCCTTCTGGTTTTTTCCTTCTGTCCACACGCACACACAACAGTAGTCACTTTAGCAAATTTTAATCTGTTATATTTGACTATTGGAAGAAGATAGAGAATTTCCATATCAAAAATGCGAATGGTGTATGTTTGGAGCAAAAAATTATATATAGGTTCTTTATAGCTTCCACAAACGCAAAAAATGAGTAAAACATTAATGTGGAATTAACAATTTCTTCAATCTTTTAAGATTGTGTTGCCGATGTGTATGAAATACAAAATATAATAAAAACGCTGACTCCTAAAATCCTGTCAAAATTATTAGTGATACAATATTTTGTTTTCTAAAAATTGACAGTATACATACTTAACTTCAGCTTGTCAAAATTAGAAATATTTTCTAAAACAAAACTGCAAGTCTTTTATAACTGTCATTTAAAATATTTTCTTCATCATGTTCTTAGGAAGCACCTAGTTCTTAAAGGTTATCTTATAAAGGTTATCTTTCACTTAGTAGCTAAGGTCAGGTTAAAAAAAGCTCAAATTTGGGAGAAAAGCAAGACTATTCTTGTTCAGTCTAAGCCTTGAAGCAATTTCAACTATTTTAATTAGCTACATTTTTTTGTTTTAGGTATGCAATTTAACCTATTTCACTTGTCAGTGTAATTGTCTTTATCACCTTTTTAAAAGTTAAAAGATAATCTTTAGCAAAGTACAAAACAGTGATTTGCTAAATATAATTATACAAAATACAACTTGTCAAATTTTACTTTTCTCCTGATGGCAATTTGCCAAGTAATGTAATGTGTATGTTTGTTAACTCTGTATTGGCATGTGCTAATTAAAATACACATATCATAGATTAACCTCCTTTGAGCTTTGCGACTTTTATGGACACTTAATAAAATATTTCATATGCAATTTTAGATGGGGAAGATGATTAAAACATTCTCATTAACTAGGGCAAATTATGTGAGTTCTGCAACTTAGAAAATGTTCACCGTAGGTCACAGTATTATTCTATAGTAGTATGAATAATAATGATAATGATTTAATAGTGATTTATTATGACAGATTCCAACAGTAGGATAACCTGTCTATCTACATAAAATTGAACTTGTAGATATACTGCACATAATTCTCTTTCCCCAATACAAATTTGGTGTGTTATCTACATATAAATACAGGTAGTCCTTGTGTTACAATGGCAGTTGTGATGGAAATTCTGTTACTAAGCAATATAGTCATAAAGTGAAATGTCACTTGGCCATATCACTTAATGGCAGCAATTCCAGCAGTCCTGATTGCTGTCATTAAGCAAGGACATACATGATTGAGATTTCTTATTTATGGCTTCCCCGTTATCTTTCCTTGTGGGAAGGTGGCAAGAAGTAAAAAGTTGTGATCACATGACTATGGAAATGCTGCAGTGGTTGAAACTATTATAGGTATCATTCATTCAGCACTATTGTAATTTTGAACAGTTGCTGAACAAATGGTCATAAACCAAGAACTACTTACATAGTCTTACACATTTATAGCAAACTGAGCTTATAATATATCAAAAAGACAACATAAGCATGGCAATGTTACGATGTAAACTTTGCCCTTATTGTTTCCCAATGCCTGACACATTGATATAAGTTATAGGTTTGCTACTATGAGGTGTTTCAAGTTCATTCCTTGCTTCAAGAAGTGAATAATACAAATAAAACTAATTTCTAATATTCAATTCCTAGATTTAAAAAAAAATCATAGATTTGCATTATACCAGTAATATAATTCTTACATTATTGCAAAGTTGTAAACATTTTAATTTAGGAAGTAAAAAACAACTAATTAGTATTTTCCATTAATGGTGACTATTTTATCTTACTTAAAAGAAAAAGTGACCAGTGTTAGAATAGAATTTTAGCAAAATATAGACAATTAAAATACTCCATAGCTCATCTCTGTTCCTTTTGTTTTCTTTCAGTTGTTTTCTCAATAGGGGAATTAAATTGCCAATCAACAAGTTAAAATAAATTTATATGTTGATGATGATTACTAATTTAAAAAACCCTCTTTAGATTCTATAATGAGATATATGCAGTAATATATAGCAGTATTAGAATATTGAATTAATAAGAACAAGGTAGAGATGGTTTTATGAAATGTATCTGAAAAAGAAAAGCAATTATTACAAATAACAAAGTTTAATATCAGTGTTGGTTAATTGGTTGATTGACTGATTGATTGATTACATTCCATCAAGTCATTGTCAACTTTTATCCCATTGATAGATTTTCTCAATGACAGTCTGTACCTAACCTGAACTTTCAAATCTTCCAACAGTGCACTTGTTGCCACTGTAACTCAGTCCATTCACTTTGCTGCTGGTCATCTTCTTTTCTTTTTTTCCACCGCTCCTAATAGTAGAGCCACCTTTGGGATCTTTAGAGAAGACCTCTTTAGAGCTAGGTCTTTACACCATATGTCCAAAATAAGATAATTTGAATCTGGTCATTGCTACCTCAAGTGAGAATTCTGGGTTGATTTGGTCAATGATACATTTCTTTATTGTCTTGGGTGTCCACAGTTTTCTCAGGAGTCTTTTTCAACAATAAATAATATATCCAGGAAGAATTGAAAATCCCATGAAACAAGATACAGAAGGCAAGATACAGAATTTTCCTCACAAAAAGGAAGAACTGGCGACATCTAAAATGATCAGTTTGAATGCACAAAGCTCTCTAAAAAGAGAAAAAGGACATACAGGGAATGGAAGAAGGGAAACATAAAAAAGAAAATAATGTAACCCTCACACCCTTGGTCAGAAAGACTAACTCTTCGAATGATTTCAGATTTAAAAGAGATAGCAAAAACAACAAACAGCATTCTTGTTAAGAATTCTTGTTAAAATTAAAAGGAAAGTCAAAGAGTGTGTAGATCAGTTGTGAAGAGAAAATCATGAATCAATAATAGATGATAATAAAATGAGTTGAAATTTGATTACTGAATGTGTAAAGAGAGGTGTATATTGAAAATAAAGCATGAATGAGAAATAACTCTCAGTTTTCAGAAAAATCATTGTAAAACATGATCACATGAGGGACACTGCAATGATGTTGCCAAATGCCCAAAGCATGATCGTGTTACTATGGTGGGGATGACCATCGGAACTTCAGATCCTGGTCATAAGTCCCTTTTTCAGATCATAATTTTGAATGGTCACTAGGTGAATTACTTTTAAGTCGAGGACTACCTGTATATTGGTGTGTGTGTGTGTGTGTGTGTGTAAGGATTTTATAAAAAATCCTTATATATACATATATATAAACATACATATATATATACCATGTTTCCCCGAAAATAAGACCCAGTCTTATTTTCTTTTGGGCTTGAAAATAAGCACTCCGGCTTATTTTCGGGGAGGTCTTAATTTTTTTAAGTGCAGGAGATGGCGAGCGCAGGTGCCGATTGTTTGAGAGTGCAGCTACCACTGGCCCTGCCTTCTCCGTCCCAGTGTCTGCTTGCCCACAGCTGCAATGGGCCAAGCTCTCGGCCTGGCCCCTACCCATCCTGCCTGCTGGCCCAGCTTCTGTGGGGACATTTCTCGGCCGCGGCACCATGTGGGGGTTCTTCGCTCTCCTGGCAGGGTGGGTGGATGCTGGGGCGTGCCAAGAACATGGCCCCAATTGGGGCTGCGAGCAAGCAGACAGTGGGATGGAGAGGATGGGGCCGGTGGTAGCTGCCCAAACACTTTTCACCGAGAGGGAGACAAAGCTTTGTCTGCTTGCAAAGGGGGAGCTAATCACTCCATTTCAAACAGTCCCCTTTGCAAGTACACAAACCTTTGAATCTCTGTCATTTATCTGTCTGGGCAAAAAGTTCTGCCATGAATGGCTTTCTGCCATGAGCAGCTCCGTCTGCGCTACAAGCTTCACAGCATTGAGCCGTGAGCAGTTCCACTGGCACTATGAGCCTTGCAGTGTTTTGCCGTGAGGAGCTGCTTGCAGCAGAAAGCCACAAAAAAGCAGAAAGCCGCAAAACGCCATGAGGCTTGTGGAACTGGTAGAGCTTGTGACAGAACACCACAAGGCTTGTTGCTCCGGTGGAGCCGCTCATGGCAGAATGCCACGAATCTCGTCTCACTGGTGCCACTACTCACACGTGCGATGGCTCAACACACCATGCAGCATCCAGCCGTGAGCGTCTCCATTGGTGCAAGAAGCCTCACGGTGTTCTGCTGTGAGCGGCTCCACCGGCACGACAAGGTAAGCGGGTGTGGGCTGCAGGGGGCATCTCCTCCCCACACCCACACCATAGCTTGATTTTTACACCTGTGCCTTGCCTCACCTCATATAGCCAGACCTAGGCGGGGCTTGACTAGGACTTATTTTGGGGTAAGGCTTATATTGGGTGCACATGTAAAATTCAAGCTAGGTCTTATTTTCGGGGAAACGGTATATATGCATATATAAGGATTTTTTTACTGAGAGAACAGAATGATATGCAGTGGATGTTAATTACAGTGCTCACTGTTAAGTTTGTGAGCCCTTTTGAATTTTCAATATTTCTGCATAAATATGACCTAAAACATGATTTATTCTCCATAGAAATGCTAAAACTAGATAAAGAGAGTCCAATTACACAAATAGGCCACAATGTTATAGTTGTTCATTGATTTTATTTAAGGAAAATGATCCAATTCTACATTTGTGCTTATGTGTAAACAACATTGTAAATTATATGATGCAACAAAGCATGGTTATGAATGTAGCAAAAGCCAAGGTAGTTGTGATTGCCATGAAAATTAGAGTTATACTTAGTTATGCATAGATAGTAAGAAACAGAATAAATAAATAAATGTTTGGAATGTGGACTTAATTTGAAAACTGATGAATTAATAGATTCTAAAATCTTTTCAGAACATTTCAATCAATCAATCAATATATATATATATATATATATATATATATATATATATATAATATTAAATTTTAACTGTGGTGACACATTCTACTGTAGTAGTATTCAGGTCAGCTGACACGTAACTCATTTTTTCTAACTTTCGATGTAGGCTAAAGTTGCCTGCAGCTGCATCTCTGAACTCCAAGCAAAGCACCAAAAATATATGTTGCTTCACTTTCCCTTTTGTCAGATTTTAATATTTAATGTTACTTACAGATGAATTATTTAAGCTTCTTTAAAGTATAGAAGAATACAGTGTTTCCTTTACTTTTATTCCTTATTTAAATATTAAGAAAATATTTGGAGAATATCTGAACAATCTAAAGAAGTGATAATAATTTTTTAATATTTCTTATAGATGATAAGAAACAAGCTATTTTTTATATATTTTAATAAATTCAAGTATTCTCTAAAGTACAGATGATGGTGGACAGTATCTTGACATTTAAGAGATTAATTAAACTATAAATTGAATATCTCTAAAGCTGTATTTACTCAATTTATGAAAATGGTATTTGATTTAATGGTTATCTTGAATATTACCTCAGATATCAATGCATGCCTTTTGGTGGCTAAAAATGAAGGCAGTATTGATATGAGATGAGATTTTTGCAATGTTTTTCCGTCTACATTTATTGGACATCAACAAGCATGTTTGCGACAACAACAGACAGTTCAAGAGTGGAATAAGATAAACAGGCCATTTTTGACTCCTAGAGATCTACCAATACATAAAATATTAGACTCTCTACCTTGCACCAGGCTTAAGTCTGGGAAATCAATTTGGGACAACACATTGTAGTCCTACGATCTAGTTGAAGAATGGTGATTAAAATGGTTGATCTTTAATAATCATAACCAAACAGATCACACAGATCCAACACAACCACTTCCAGAAATACCATTGTCCTGAAAAATATAGAGCCAATTGAATAGAATCAGAATAGGCCATGCCCGAAACAAAGGTCTTTAAGTGGGGAATGGCTAAGAGCCTGTAACACGACTCTTGCATCGGAACAAACAATAACACATATATTGGTAATTCGAGGCACCTGGGATGATCTCACTGCAGCCAACCAGAAGCAGTTAGATGGTCAGCTCTCTTAGATATTGAATTGTAACATCTATCTTATTGCGATTCTAGGGTGCCCTATTATGGTGATTTTATTATGGTTTTACCTTAATTTAATATGTTATCTCATATACTGTATTGTCTACATTCTTCATCCATCCATCCATATATATGCTGATGATTTATTTAACTTATATTTGTGTTTGTATGTATAATTTATTTTCTTTGTGTTGTATATTGGGATTGCACGACCTCTGTAGATGCTCTGTAGATGCCATACACTAAATAAATAATAGCAAGCATGTTTGCCTTCCTAGTAATATGTCTATTTTCTAATAACGTATATTTTTCCTGCAGAGGAAGATGTATATGGTGTTTACTCCAATCTGTTGTTCAAGAATTTCCTTGCAGAAGGAGTAGTTTGCGGGCATAATTTATTTATTGCTTCAGATAAAGAGGAGCCTGGTATTATTCTAAAGGTAAAGAAAAGTTTCTTCCATATGAATGTTTCTTAATGTTTGTATTAAAACTAGTAATTCTCTTATAATAAACCCGAATATTTTCATCTCTACTAATATTCTAGAATATGCTAATTTTTTATCAGTTAATGTAGACGATTCAGAGAGGGAAAAGTCAATATTATGTTACATTCAAGAAACTGCAATCATAAAATCACATGTGAGCTTGAAGATTTTGGCTTGTCACACTGGATATAAAAAATGATTGACTAATCCTTTTTATTCAACATGCATTGTCCTCATCATCTTCTGCCGATTTTAATTTGTTCAGTGTTGAAATTAAGCCTAGTGGTTTGAAATTGGATAACAGAAGAGAGTTGGGGAAAGGAAAATATGAAAAAATATACATTTTCCCTCTTAGCAGAGAAGTAAATTGAGGACTAGAATAGTATAGCAGTAATGCAGAGTAGAAGGAACGGGGAGCTGGGGATGGGGTAATTATACTGAATTTGTGTGGTGTTTACCCTACAGCCCCTTGTGTTACCCACCTCATTATGATATTTACAACAGATGTGGCTAGAGAGAGCTCCAGAGATGCAAAACACTGGTTGGAGAGCATTGCCTAAGTTTGCACAATTGTTTTATGCTTTCCTTCCCCACAAAAGATTGCATCCATGTACTGTATTAAAATTTTTATAGAACAGTTGGTGGAGAAGAAAGGTTATTTGTGAAAATGTTCTACAACTGAACACAATCAATTTGTGCATGCAATCATATTAGCAAGTTGCAAAACTAAAATGTTACACAAAATTATGCATTCATAATTTAGTACAGTATGTGGGGGAGGGGGGTTCATAGATCATAGAAGTACAGGTCCTTTAATTGGAATTAACTAATTAATTAAGTTGGTGATCCAGTATGGTATGATGACTAAGTTATTGGACTATGACTGAAAAAATCCTGGTTCAAGTCTACTTTAAGCCATAAAATGAACAACTTTAGGCCAGCTATACTATTTTAGCCCAGTCTATCCCAAAAGTGAGTTGCTGTTGGAAAAAATTAGAGGAGAGAATGCTGGAGAATATCATCCCAAGCTCCAGAAAACAGGCTGGCAAATAACCTAAGTTATAGTTTTAAAAAGTGCAAAGAAGAGCAACTAAGATGATTAAAGGCCTGGAGACTATAACATGATGAACGGTTGAAAGATCTAGGTTTGGCTAGTCTAGAGAAAAGAAGGACTAGGGGAGACATGATAACATATTCCAGTATTTGAAAGGATGCCACAAAAAGGAAGGTCAATTTATTTTCCAAAGTATCAGAGGACAAGACAAGAAATGGATGGAAACTACTGGTAATCAAGGAGAGAAGCAACCTGGAATTAAGGAGAAACTTGCAACAGTGAGGACAATTAACCAGTGAAACAGCTAGCCTTCCAAAGTTGTTGGTGCTTCATCACTTGGGGTTTTTAAGAAGAGATTAGACAGTCACTTGTCTGAAATGGTATAGTGTCTACTGCTTGAGTAGGGGCAGGACTAGAAAACCTCCAAGACCCTTCCAGCTCTATTCTGATTGATTGATAGAACTAGGGGGTATTTATTTTGTAATACATTGTTTTTATTGCTTATAAATTTTATTGCTTACATATTCATTTTATTCCTTATATATTTTATTCTTACAGATGAAAACATTTTTTTATGTGTGTGTTAATTGCTATATTATGACTATTTTCTAGACAATTTTACTGTACCCTAAAATTGGCTTTTCTTCAAAACTACTTACATACTCTACAAAAATCTTAGAAGAAATAGTCTACGTTAGATATCTGATAAAACAGTACATTTCAGCTGTAATTTAATGCTGTGGTGTAAGTTATGGTTCCTGAGAATTTTGAGAATTGAAAATCTATATAAGAGGGTGGATTTTAAAATTTCCACTGTCATTGACTTTCATCATAATTTTCAATAGTTCCTTTGCTGCCTAGCATATTGATCACTTTTATACACATATTGAATAGTACTGTAGCTATTTTTAACTTTAAATGGGAGTTTATGGTTTTTCTGTAATCAAAAAAATATTGCCTGTTGTAGAAAGAAAGAAAAAAGATTGTTTATACATAATTATCTTAAAACTATGTAACTAAAAGGCAAGTGGAAAATAGAAATGTCCCATCAGCTGCTTATGGTATGTTATATGATCACCCAGTAATTTACCCATCATCTTTTGAAAACATTTATGTGTTTCAAAATTAGTCAAAATTTCTGTAGGAAGTGAGCATTAAGATGGGACATTGTTGAAAAACTACAGTCCTGTTAAAAATCCCTTGGAAATATATACATAAAGTTTTAACTAATTTTTTAAAAAACATTTCTGTCTTTTTCAGTCATATAGTTATGATCGAACATAAGAAATTGCAAAGGAATAAGGTGAATCTTTATATAATGAATTACATATTTTTTGTACTTGTGTCACAAGCACCAGGGTGCTTTCAGGTTGACAGGATTAAGTGGGAATGCCCAATTGGGTGTTCCTTTCATGTTCCCCGCAGGACCTGGAACGAAGGACGAGAACTTGCCCCACTCCATGGCAGCACTCGGATCTCAAATGTGGACTTCTAACCTCCAACCCAGTGCCCTAACCATGAGAGCCACCATGTTCCTTTCATTACATATATTTTTTAAAAAAATAGCATTCAAAAAGAACTCTTAGAAAGACTTCTGTAAACTACAGTGGATGAAGGAATACAAAACACTGGTTAGAGAAGATTCAGGAATGCTGAACAGTGGTGAATATCTCACACAGCATTCAGGCAGTTACAGCTTTGAGGCCAAAGGATAGCAGTCTGAAGTCTGCAGTTGTATACCAGCTCACAAGACTAGCTGCAAAGGTATGCAGGCAAAGGATCAAAGGTGATACTGGTACAATTATTTTCATACTGTCCTTGGAATGGTGTCTTCTCTCACTTACATCAGGACCCTTGATATGAGCTGGGCTTTCCAAATGATTGAATTGGAATTAAATTTTGTGTTACGAGCATATCCACCATATAAGTGCTTTTGGGAAAGACCTTTTGCAGATATGGAACTGGATGTCTTCAGGGTTTTTAAATTTAAGTTGTAATATTTTTGTATTTTAATGTTAATTTTTAAAAATCATAGGCTTTCTGTAGTTTTCTTACTGTTACTCTAGTATGATATTTATTCTATTTATAAGATGTTTCTAAGATTTTCCTTCATTAATTTAGAAATATAGAAAACTAAAATAAAAATGGAATATAGTATCTGATTTTTCACACATCTATATTTTATATACTGAGGTTTTAGTGACTAAAGGAAAAATATACGAGGTTGACTGAGACCATACTCTAAAAGTCTGATAAAATATTAAAGAGTAACATATCTTTAATTCAGAATGCTTTTTTTCCTTTGCGCCAAATGTCCATTAGATTTCAGTATATTTGTATCTAACATATGTTTTCCAGATGTGAAAATATTTAGTCCTGCAATTCTAATTGTTTGTTTTCTGTTCTGAATATTTTAATAAGCATTAGGCAGCTTTAAAATTAGATTTTTATATGCAAACATCATGATTCATTCATGGATTTTTTACCAGAAATCTAGAGAATGGCTGTTTTTAACAACATTGTTAGTTCAATACCTAGATGCCAACTCTCTCTCTCTCTCTCATTTTCTTTCTCCTTTCCACCTGAATCAAGGTAGATTGTACAAGTTTTTGACAGATGCCTGGAGGTAGTGTTGAACTGGATGAGGGCCAGAAAACTAAAGCTGAATCTAGAGAAAACAAAGTGTTCTCGTTAGTTGATTTTTAAGCTTAGGAATTAGAAAGATAGCCTTTGCTGGCTGAGCTAGCATTACATCAAAAGGAACAGGGCCACACCTGTTTTTGACTCCATCTCTCAGTAAACTCACAGCTTCATTTTCAAGAGAGTCTGTAAGGAGGGTTAATCTGCTGCACTTCCTGCATGAGGACAGGAAAGCAGATCAGTGGATCGGTGCTATCATAATCTTATGATGAAATACAGGTAGTCCTCGATTTACAACAGTTCATTTAGTGACCATTCAAAGTTACAACAGCACCGGAAAAAGTGACTTACGGCCATTTTTCACAGTTACGACCTTTGCAATATCCCTATAAGCATGTGATCATAATTGAGATGCTTGGCAATTGGTTCATATTTATGACTGTTGAGTTGACCCTGGGTCACGTGATCCCCTTTTGTGATCTTATGACAAGCACAGTCAATGGGGAAACCGGATTCACTTAACAACCAAGTTATTAATTTATCAACTGCATTGATTCACTTAACAACTGTGACAAGAAAGGTTGTAAAATGGGGCAAAACTCACTTAACAGATGTCTCACTTGACTACAGAAATTTTGGGATCCCTTATGATTATACGTTGAGGACATGTAAAACTTCCATTTATAAGAGTGGAATATCTCACAGAATTCAAGAATACTGTGTTCCTCCAAACTGCTTGGGAGATAATTTGCAATGTTTTAGACATGGCCACTACAAAGCAAATCCATGTTGTTCAGAACACCACACTTCATAAACTTTCAGTTTAAAGGATGAACTTCAAGAAAATGGCTGGGCCACCCTGAACAGCATGATCAGGGCTCAGAATGTTAACTGTTAGACTACTTTAAACGAATTCCAGAAGCTACACTTGCAGAATTCAGCTACCGTGTTAAATTTGTTCTTCTAAATAGGTTGTGTCATAATAATCCTTTAAGCAACATTAGTTTTCTCTTAGCTATTGGGCTAAATTTAAAAGTACTGGCACTGTTATATAAAGCTTTAAAAGACTCACATTTGAAGGATCGCTTTCTCTAATATTCCAGAACACAGAGGCCTTGTTTTTGACCTGAGAAATTAGTTCAGATCATCATGTATTAGTCAGAAATTGGGCTTTCTTACTTGTAGTTTCTTTTTGAATTTGTTTGGGGGGGGAGGTCCTGTATTTGGGTCCCTAGCTCTATTCTATTCTCTAATCTATTCT